TGAGGGGTGCTGGAGCCGGGGAGGGGGTGGGGGGGAGTGTGAGCAGAGGCGCGCCCACCCCGAGAACCAGGCCTGCTCTGGCTGAGGGTGCTGTCACGGGTCACTGTCAGGTTGCTTCCTCACCCTGCTGAGGCTGAGTGGACATTCCGGTGCCCCCTGGAGGCGTCCAGAGCCTGAGAGCCCCGCTCAGGGAAAGGGCCCACGGCCGACGGCTCCCGCCTGAACGCTCAGCTCCAAGCCCCCCCAGCCCCTGGTCCAGTTCGGAGGGATAACTGAGCTGTGACCCTCCACCACACCTCAGCCTCCCAGGGGCAGGCGTGCTGAGCTAAGGGGAGGTGACCTTGAGGTCCAGGCCTTTGGAGGGAGAGCCCAGGCTCCTCAGGTTCCTGCTGCTCAGGCCAAAATTATTATTTTTTAATTAACAATTAAAATAAATAATCGGGGGCTCTGACAGCTCTGAGAAGGACCCACACATCCATGGTATCAAGCACACCTGTACACATGCTGCCATCATTCTCTTCTAACGTTTACTTCCTATTTGAGCCCTTGGGGTCTGCTCCGTTTTTCCCCCTCCTTTGCCACCTCCCACCCTCCTGACCCCTTGATAAATTATAAATATTTTCATATCTTACACAGACCACTATCTCTTTCCTCCATGTTTTTGTTGCTTGTCCCCAGGGCGGCGTGTGTGTGTGTGTGTGTGTGTGTGTGTGTGTGTGTGTGTGTTTACGTGTCCATCGTGGCGATAGGTTCCCCCTTCCTCGAGGACAAAGTTCTTAAGATTGGGACTCAAGGCGTCCTTATCTGAGCTGGCCTGAGCCGGCCACCCCTGCGTGCCTGACATTCCCTGTTGGCAGTCGCCCTGGTTGGTGTTAGGAGCCACGTCACACTTTACAGACCAGGAGACTGAGGCCTGGAGAGGTGGGGCAATGACACAGCCAAGGGGGGAGCAGGTTGTGAACCCACGGGGTGGCTGTGGACTTACAGAGAATCGTGCACCCACCTCAGCCCCTAATTCAGCTCCTGGGAGTATGATGGGCTGTATGCTGGGCAGCTAGCCACAGGTCAGCAGTTCGAGCCCACCAGGGGCCTCAGGGGAAAAGGGGGAGGCCGTGGGCTCCTGTAAAGATTTACAGCCAGGAAGACTCAGGGGCAGTTCTACTCTGAGCAACAGGACCGTGCTGAGATGAGTCAGCACGGGCCCCTGGCTGTGAGTGTGGTGCAGTGAGCCCTGTGTTAGCCTGCTGACCTCAGCCTTAGCAAACGACCAGCGGCTCTGTCGCAGAAAGAGGAGGCTGTCTGCTCATGTACAGACTGGGACTCAGAAACCCAAGGGACAGCTGCACTGTGACCTACGGGATCGCCCTGAGTTACTTTTCTGATCACCTCCTCCTTCCAGCACCTACCGAGCCCTGGAGGCACAGTGCCCTTGCTGCGACGCCCCAGCGCTGCACGGGAGAAAGCCGGGCTTGCTACTCCTGTAAAGAGTTACAGTCTCAGTTGGAAAGCCCACGGGAGCACTGCTGACCCTGTGCTACAGGGTCTCCGTGAGTCAGAATCGACTCTGTGGCGGTGAGTGTGTGCACCTTCTGTGCTCCCAGAAACGCCATTCCCTCCGGTCCGGCAAACTCCTATCCACCCATCAAAGCCCCAGCTGCAATGGCCCTGTCGTCCGAGAGGAAGCCTCAGTGATGCTCCTGCCCGCCCCACCCCTGTCCCCCAGCTGCAATATGTGAATTCCTGGGGAGGGACAGAGGGGTCCCAGCCCCCCACAATTCCATCGGGTGGACAGTAAACCGAGGCCCAGGAAGCGTGCGGGCGCCCGTCGTCCATCGCCTCCGCGGCCAGTGTCCCCGCGGTGCCCGGCGGGGCAGGGCAGGACCCCGCGGCCAGGTGTGGGGCGCGG